TAAGCTAAGAGATAAATATTTTCCTTTGTCTACTGGTATTTCCTTCAAAGATTGTGCTGTACTTGGGGGAGGGGAGAGTGGTAAATACAGCTACTACATTATGCTGGCAAAGAGCCAGAAAGGTTTCTTAGATTATGTGCAATTCACTAACACGTATGTCAATTACAGAGGAAGTGCCAAAGGAGAATGATTGCATAAAACAGACTATTTAAAAATAAAAAACAGGCTGGCTAAACCCAATTAAGTATTTATAATCCTTGCACTGCGAATGGAATTAGGGCTTTATATGTATGTATAATTACAAACACAGAGAGACATGTATTGTGTGAAGTGCTGAATGACCTCAGCTTCTAAATAAGTACCTGGGAGTTGAGGATGCCTTGTAGTTAAGGATGTAAAAAACTGAAGGTAATGGGATTACTTATTACTTATATACCACATCTTTGTAATGTCCTGAGATCAGTCAACAACTGCATCCTAAAATAAGTGGAGTGGGGAAGGTCAGGGTCAGCCTCAAAGTTGTTTGTAGAGCCTTGGCTATGGGTATTCTGACTTTCAAATGTCTGTGTACAGTAATTCCTCACTTAACGTCCTCCCGTTTAACGTTGTTTCGAAGTTACGTCGCTGCTCCATTAGGGAACATGCTCATTTAATGTTGTGCAATGCTCCCTTATAACGTCGTTTGGCTGACTTTACAAGGGAGCATTGCACAAGTTCCTCTTCTCCGCCTCCACCCCCTCCCTTCCTCCCTCCCTCCCAGCGCTTCCCCCACTGTCAAACAGCTGTTTGGCAGTGCTTTGGACTTTCTGGGAGGGAGGGAAGAAGGGGAAAGCGTCGCTTCTCTCCGGCCGCTGGCTGCGCGGCTGCCCCTGGTCCTCCTGAGTCCTCTGGCCCGTGCTCGCGGGGCCTCATTCCGAAAGGGGCTTTAGAGCTGCAGGCCAGGGCTCCAGGGCACCCTTAGCCCAGGGCCCTGCAGCCCCTAAAGCCCCTGCATTCCAGGTGGCCCTGCCTGCCTGCCGGGGGGAGGGGGTAGCTCCCAGAATCGCGGCTCCCAGAATCGCAACCATGGGGCGGTGCCGCGCTGCACAGAGCCACCTGCACACCCCCTGCACCAAACAAGTAAGTGCTCTGCACCTCCTGCCTGCCCCAGCCCTGAGCCTCCTCCCACACCCCCACTCTAAGCGCCCTCCCACACCCTAACTCCCTCCCAGACCCCGCACCCCCAGCTCTGAGCCCCAGGAGGAGAATGGAGAAAAAAAAGAATGAAAAACAGGGAAGGGGAGGGGGGGAAGATGAGAGATGCTCCCGCTATGGGTGGCCCCAAAAATGAAGCTGAGCACAGGGCCCCACTAACTCTAAATCCACCACTGGTGGGAGGGGGAGGAGCAGGGAAGCGCCATGTCTCCGCTCCTCTCCCCCCTCCCAGAAAGTCCTAAGTGCTGCCCAACAGCTGTTTGCAGCAGGGAACCCCTGGGAGGAAGGGGAAGGAGCGGCGATGCGGCGTGCTCCGGGGAGGAGGTGGAGTGGGGGTGGGAAAAGGAGGGGCTGGAGTGGAGCGGGGACAGGAGAGGCAGGCCTGGAGCATCCCCCGGCAAAGTCAGTACCTGTTCTTCTGGGGGGAAGCTGCTGTTGCGCAAGGTGCTTCCTAGCATCCTTGCCTGCCTCATTGTCTGCAGCGGGCTGTGCCTGTGTGGGGTTAGCCAGGGGCACCTCCCCACCACAGTACAGTACAGTACGGTATATAATGCCTTTTGTCTGCCCCCCAAAAATGTCCTTGGAATCTAACCCCCCGCCTTTACATTAAATCTTATGGGAAAATTGGATCCGTTTAACATCGTTTCACTTAAAGTTGCATTTTTCAGGAACATAACTACAACGTTAAGTGAGGAGTTACTGTAATTATAGCCTTAACTCTGAATTTCCAGGCTTTCAATATTACAAGAGTTCAAAATTCTACTACTGTTGTTTTAGTTAATTGACATCTGTTTACCTTAAGTGACACTGTGAATTTTCTTTCCCCACAAAGAAATTTTAAAACATTTATGAGAAAACTATAAATACCAACATGGTGAACAAATGTTTAATAATGGGCTCTTCAATCTACCAGAGAAAGGTAGAACACGATCCAATGGCTGGAAGTTGAAGTTAGACTGGAAATAAGGTGTAAATTTTTGACCGTGAGAGTAATCAACCACTGGAAAAATTCACCAAGGGTTACTGTGGATTCTCCACCACTGGCAATTATTAGATCAAGATTGGATGTTTTTCTAAAAGATCTGCTGCTCTGGGAATTATTTTGAGGAAGTTCCAAGGTCTGTGCTACACAGGAGGTCCAACCAGATGATCACAGTGGTCGCTCCTGGCCTTAGAATCTATGAATTTATGACACTAACGGAAGATTTCCTGGGGGTTTTCCCAACCCTCCTCCCCGCAAAGAAATCTTAACACACTGATGAGTGAAGACTAACAGACGATTATTATATTTCCCACAGCATGGAGTCCATTTTGCTTAATTACAAATGTGATGTAGAGCCATCATAATATCCACAACGAATACTCCGCTGGTGGTGATTTGGGGCCTGATTCAGCTCCTATTGGAGTCAATGGAAAGTCATAAGAGCGCTATCCAGCTCTTTAATCTCTCAAAGCTGAAGCTGTTCAGCTGATAAAGGGTTTTTTGTGGAGCTTTTGTGAGCACTACAGTCCTCTGGAACTTAATGAAGCATTGTGAAGTTTAAAAATCTATAGGTACTAATTCCTGCACCCTACCATCTGAAAAACAGTCCCACTCTCAGCTAGGCCTCATGACAAACAAATTAGAGCTTTCTATTAAAGCTCATGCTATTAGAATTATTGTTTATTTTTTTTAAATTACATTTTTTTTTAAAGTCTCACGGTTTATCCAAACCACCTCAAACCTTCCCTCTCCCCCTAAAAATATTCTGCAATGAATAGGAAACACACATGCCAAATTTCAAGTCAAAGGGATTTTTTTCAGATTCAAATAGATGCATAACTAGAGTTAGAATGGAAAGCAAGTTACAGCCTTATCTATATAAGGAGTAAGAACAGTGACTCCATAACACAAAATAAAAACAAGTTTTAAAGGAAAGATTCTGCTAAGATCCTGCTCCTGTTTTAATCAATAATAGCAAAACACTCTTTGACCTCAGTAAGGAGCTGCATCCAGTGCTGAAAGATTTAAAGTGCCAGAAAGGAGAACAGTTTAAAAAATAAAAAAAAAAAAAACACTGAGTAGCTGGACCTCCTCTCACTTTTAACACAAGCAGATAAGAAATCCATGATGGATATTATACACTATTCCATGACACTGTAACATGCTGGGGTTTTGAATTCAGAGGAGGCAATCTGAGTTTGTTTGCCCTCTCAGCAGAGGCTAGAGCAGGGGTCGGCAACCTTTCAGAAGTGGTGTGCCGAGTCTTCATTTATTCACTCTAATTTAAGGTTTCGTGTGCCAGTAATACATTTTAACATTTTTAGAAGGTCTCTTTCTATAAGTCTATAATATATAACTAAACTATTGTTGTATGTAAAGTAAATAAGGTTTTTAAAATGTTTAAGAAGCTTCATTTAAAATTAAATTAAAATGCAGAGCCACCTGTAACAGTGGCCAGGACGTGGGTAGTGAGAGTGCCACTGAAAATCAGCTCACGTGCTGCCTTCGGCATGCGTGCCATAGGTTGCCTATCCCTGGGCTAGAGTCAGTCTGTGCCTTTGTTTTGCACTTTGGGAGGCTCAGTAGACACACAGCAGAAAAGTTCTTTATTCTGGAGCCAGATTGAAATTGCTCTTTGACCATTTGGGGAGCTAGCTGAATAATTGGACAGGAGGATGGAATAGTTTAGGGCTTGATACTGCTGCCACTGAATCCAATGGGAAAACTTACCGACTTCAATGAATGCAAGATGAGATCTTTATTTAAATAACATTTCATTGGTGAGGATATTGAGTAAGATGAACTGGTGTTAGTTCTAAGATGGACAAGGTTCCAGCTGTCAGACATGTTTTCTTTTTATTTGATTTGGGATTTAACTAAAATGGTGGCAATATGGGATCCAGCAGCTAGACCCTTGTCTACACTAAATTTCCCTCCCCGGCTGAGTACTATTAAAAAAAAAAGGGGAGGAACATGGGGGGAGTAGTGATTTATTTATTTTGGAGGGGTTCTGAAGGATATGCCTTTCATGAATAGGAGTTATTGTTTATACAGATGTAATTCTTTTACATTTTAGTGTGCAACAGTCAGCTTCAAGAATTTATACAAAATACATTTTCACAAATGCTGAAAACCCACCTGGCCAGAAATAATAAATTACTGTTTACAAGTCTAAGAAAACCTTTTCTTGTAAAACCATAAAGAGGATCCTGGAAAAAGTCATGACTGCCTACTTATAAACATTAAAGTGGAAAAAAAAAAGTGCTAGGTATTAGGCCTGATGGTAGAAGCATTTGGCACATAATAGGTATTTTGTAAACACCGAGTTACCATTAATTTGTCACAGTTTCAGAAAGGATCACCACGCTAATGGGACAATAGATCTTAAATTCTTTGAGTGAGAAAGAAGTGACTCCTCTGCATCTCTTTTGAGTTTATGGAGGAGTGGCACAGCTAACAGCTCTGTTGATTGTGCATCTCTTTTGGAATATGTATTGGAATATGTAAATCCACCCCCTACATTTCCAAGTCAGTAATGCAGCCACCAGTAATTAAAGACAGAAATAGGAAGACTGTGTGTGCATACAGCCTCTGTTGTCTAAGAAGGCAGCATTCCACCATCTAGGTGGTAAGTATGGAATCCAAGATCTACATTAACTGGCTACACATTTTCACACTTAATTGAGCCAAGAGGGAAAGAGAAAGCTTTAGAGTAATTTTGTGCATATTTTATCTTTATGTGCACCACTGGACATAATGAAAGACGAGAAGAGGTGGCAAAGGACCAAAAACCACAGAAAATTAAGAAATGGTTCTGACTCACCTATATGATAAAGTCCTATCCAGTCTGTTGGGTCAACTTCTTCTTTAATATCCCAGAAAATAATGAGGTTCTGAGATTGCCCCAGGGTGTATTCATACATACTCGCTGTCAAACTAGAGCGGCTGTCAGAGGTCACTAGATCAGTGTCACTGTTGGCACGCTGCAAGTTCATGTTCTCAGGTATGGTGCCCTGAGATGTCAGGCTCTGCAGGTTCTCTGGGCTCAGAGTATACCGTAGCTGAGGATTACGTCGTCGCACAAAAAGCAGATGTTCTCTGGCTGAATTTGCCATTGTGTCTCTCTCTCTTGTCGGTCTACATAAAAAAACTTCTCACGTAGGGATCTGCAAAGAACAAAGAGAGGCATGAAGTGTTAGAGCTGAAGGACAGGATATTGGATCAAGGTCCACATAGAGACAACTTAGTTTAAAGGTTTCTTTATCTGGGATTGACCCTTCAGTAGTCTCATATGGACGAAATAAAGCTCATAGTTCATTAATCTACTACTACAGCCATCTAAAGACACTGTTCAATACACTGGAACTGAGGCACATTTCATGAACTACTTGTGGCAGTCTTGCTGGCATTCAAAATCTAACATACATCTTGTATTAAAATTTGTATACCAAGAAACAAACCAGGAGCTACTGTGCCCAGACTAGAAAAAAGCAGAAACCAAAAAAAAAAAAAAAACCCTTGATCCAGCAATGGAGATTTAGTACCCCGATAAATAAGTGGATTAAGTCTGACACAGGCTCAGAGTACATGGAGACAAAGTCCTCTTTTAGCTAAGCAATTACAACAGTATATCTTTATTTAGAATAAGTAGTTTCTAGTAGTATTTTATAAAAAAATTTTTTAATTAAGGAGTCAAAAAAGTAATACAGCTCCACAGTAATACAGACATTAGATAGGATTTGTATATAGCTTTAGCAAGCACGTAGCACCATAGAGAAGTAATACAACAAAGTTATTTTGTGATAAAAAGGATTTTTAAAAGTATGGAAGAATTTAAGAGGGAAAACTATGGGTTCAAAGATTTCTCTAGATCATGCAAAAATATGCCAATTCCTTGAGGGAGGTATTCTAGGGGTAAGGGCTGAGGTTCAATTAGCCCATGTCACTGTACCTGCCCAATTCGCTTTTTTTCCTTTTGACCAGGTCTAAGAATAGATACCTCATGAATTCAGTGGTTCCCATCTGATCTGGACTAGATAACAGAAGGAGGTCTTCTCCAGAAAGGAGATGTCCAACATGGTATTAACCCAGTTAATATAAAAAAAAACCTGCACAATTTCAAGAACCCAGCTATGCAATATTTTGCAAGTAAGAGACAGGTTACTTCAGCTTCAGTCAGAGACTGTTTCCCCTTAACACTTGGAGTGAAAGGAACTGCAAGTAGGCTGTAATCACCACCAGAAGATACTGTATAGATCTACCTCCTGGGACTGACCTCTAACACACTCTGAATGGTGTTTGGGTTAAACAAAGCCAAGGTATATTCTTTGCAGCATCTTGCATTACCCGAAACCCAAGATTTGAAGACGCATTTGATAGTTGTAAGAATCTGTAATTTCTGTAAGTTTACATCAGGTCATGTCTGTTAAAAACTGCCTGGTAAATGAATAGCTAGTAAGCAAAGACAGGGCTGCCTAGTTCCATGAGCTTCTTCTCATGTCTGGCTCTCTCTCCATAGACAGTCCTCCCTCTTCACTTTCAAATCTCTCCACATAACATACTACTTCCATTTTGTACAATATCAAAACAACATATTGGCACTGAACAAACAACCAACAAACTAGAACTTTGTTTTTCAGAATGGAATGAAGCACACTGCATTTACTTGGGTAAAAGGGGTTTGTGTAAGCAAGTGATTTATCAATGCAAATAATACATCTAGCTAGAGCCCCTGTGCAGATATAAAATTTGTAGCTGCATCCAATCCATGATCTGCAAACATGGTCCGTGGATATCCATTAACTTAAAATGTTCAAAGTAATGTAATAAAAATGCAACAGAATGGATAATTTCGACCAAGCAAGGATTATTTTCATAGTGGATACTAGCAATAAATAAGTTTCTTTCCACTGGGGAAAGACAGTTTTGCAGTGAAAACAATTTATTCCATTAGAAGAAAACTGAATGTTTGCTAACAAAAAGGATTATCAGCCAAACAATTAAGAATTAATGTAAAGTGGTCTAAAAGGTGCTGCACTTCCATAAGGCAGTGAACTAAAATTTGCAGTCCTTATTTTTTTTAAAGCCCAGACAATTACATAGTCTACCGTGCACAGATTGTGATGTGAATTTCTCACACTCTTTAAACAATCGCAGCCACTATGGCAAGGTATCTGACCATTTTACAAGTTAACCATAGACAAGGTCAATTGTATCACAGTTGTGTCCTCTTTGAAGGACGTCTGCTGCAGGCAGAATAGAACAGATCTCATTATTAATTTTAAATACATATATTTTGAGCAAGTTTACAGATACCTGTGTATTATTCTTGAGCTTTTGTCCTGGTTTCGTACCTCTAGCCTTAAGCTATTGTATATGAGTATTTCTGTTTCCTTAAAATAACCCAAACATTTCCTGGTAGTGCTGAATGTCACCTGCCTTGATTTTCCCTGTTTCCAGCAAGTTTTTAATTTAAAATGAGGTAAAGCTCACTGGAAATGGATTATGATTGTTGGCCATCTTCCATAGTATTATAATTATGATTAGACCCACAGTATGCTAGCCCTCAGTCAAGTGTCTTACAGCTGCATTATTAAACAGAAACTATCTCTAGTAGTCAAAGATGTAATTATTAAGCAAAAAACACCACCACCACCAAAGCTAGAGCTCCAGTCTTTTTCACAAAGGTTTCTGGACTCTTATTAAAACTTTTCCTTTCATCCACAGAATGCATTCCTTCCCCCCACCCCCACTGATTTTTTTCTCTTTTCCTTTGGCCACTTGAATTTTCAAAACTTCCTCAACTTTGAAAAAGTTTCAGAGTGGCAGAATTACCGTTTCTTTTTGCCGTTCATAGCTTTTTCAAATCTTCCTCAACTTTGGGAAAAGTTACTGGAGTAGCAAAGAGTAAAATTAAAAAAAAAGTGAAAGTGTAAAAGAAAACCTAGACATCATGCATTTTATTGCACTCAGTATCAAAAGGGGTAAGAGAAAAAAAGATATTTAATAACTATGTGACCTTTGTTTATGCCTTACTCAAAGATTTTATTGTTAATGACATGAATCAACAGATTTCACTGAAATGTACATGTGTACTCTGCCTCTGACATCAACAAGGTAAAATAATTTCGTATCCATATGCATTAGTGAATGTTAGGAAAATTAAATATTTTCCTAATGGTCTACAAGTAAGGGCAAGTCTACACACTACAAACTTGCATCGGTACAGGTGCACCGAAGCAACTGCACCACTATAGCACTTCTGGTGAAGACGCTCTAAGCCTATGGGAGAAAGCTCTCCTGCTAGCTTAATAAAATTCCACCTTTGCGATAGGCAGTAGGTATGTTCGCAGGAGCAGCTCTCCCACTGACATAATGCTGTCTACATGGGGGGGTTAAGGTCAGTACAACTACGTCGCTCAGTGGTGTGGATTTTTTCACACCCAAGTGATGTAGTTATACTGAAATAAGTGTGTAGAGTAGACCTGGCCTTATGCATTTTCTTTTCCTGGAATGATGAGCATGGGGTAACTCTGAGACCAGAAGAGTAATTATCTGAAGACACAAGAGTGCTAAGTGAGCATTCTGAACCACTGGAGCATCCAGCATAAAGGTTAGCTAATCACAGATGTTGCTGGCCTGTTTAGTGAGACAAGCTTCATTGGGCCACGTCACCTTCTCCTGATCTACTGAGGTCTTATGAATTTAAAAGCTTTCCTGGTTTTATGAGTTTACACAGGGTTGTTTTAGATGTGTTTATATAATCAGACAGATTTTTAAAGTATCCTGGGTTTCTATACAACCATAGGAGGGAGTGTAAGACAACATGCTTAGAAACCATAACTGTAAAAACAAGCTTTATGCAGGAGTTCAATGGGACTTTTCACGTGTGTTTGTAGTATCCTGGCCTAAAAGCATCTACTGGCAACACCACCAACCCCTCTCGCCCTCACTAGTAATTAAATTGCAGATTTCAAAGTGGAGCAACATTATTCTCTATACAGACCTAGATGATATATGATGCAGCTGAATTCACTCTCTCCTCCAACCAAATACTAGAAGTATGATCAGTATTGACATCTCAACAGCTACGAGGGCTAAAAACTTATTGGTGATGTCAATTCTTGCAATTTTATTTTTTTATTTTAATCTCATATCAGATATTTTACGTAAAAGCCCCAGCTTCTGGAAACAACACGAGACTCAAACCCCACCTTTTTTTTTTTTTAAACATAAGTTTCTAGCCCACGTGACAGCATAGAGAAGCTTGAAAATGTGACCCAAATGCACCCTGAAGCCCCCAAAACCAGAAGGCAAATAAAAAGAACCCAAAATATATTATTTTAAAATCTTTTGATTTTTAAGCAAACCTCATGATTTTGGGGGCTGACTCATTTTTGACAATACATTTTATTTTTTAAATGAAAGCTGAAATTCTGATATAATAACATGCCTCCATGAGTTGAGGCTTTAAGAAAAGAAAACAGATATTGCGAGTTTCATTATAAAATTGTGAAGTGCCAACATTGTACCATAACCCTTTCAATCAAGCTTTTATATAGGGTTCATTCTTGTTATCACAGTTGGTGATTTTCCAACTCAAACAGCTCTTTCTGAGGCTGGAGCAGCGACGGGAAAAAAATGGTGGATACTAAGCACCACCAGCAGCCCCCCGATCAGCGCCTCCCCCTCCCTCCCAGCACCTCCCAGCTGCCGCGATCAGCTGTTCCGTGGTGTGCAGGAGGTGCTGGGGGGGGGGGGAAGAGTGAGGGCAGGGCACGCTGGGGGCAGGGGCGAGATGAGAAAAGGCAGGGCAGGGGTGGAGCGAGGGCATAGCAAAGCAGGGTGGGAAGAGGTGGGATGGGACCTTGAGGGAAGAGGTGCAGTAGGGGTGGACCCCTGGGGCAGAGCCAGGGGTCGAGTACCCTCGGGCACATTAGAAAGTCAGTGCTCTGATCAGGACACCGGATTTAATTCTAAACTACCCCTTAATAATTATCCACAGTTAAAATATTAATAACTACACAACTTTCAAAAACTGCACCAAAGGTTAGAATGTTATTTACCATAACTAATTTACAGAGGTGTTATGATAATTTGTAAAACACTTTAAACATGTAAAGTGATATATAAATGTTAAATTATTACAATATAGTCAATGGTACCA